GCGTTTGACGTATTACGTAACTATTTTACCAAACCAGCATTACATAAAATAAACACTTCAAATAGTTCATAAAGAGATCACTAGCTAGCAAGAAAATAATGGAGCTATCTGTAATACACAATTCAACTGTTTCCTGGCTGTTACATTTGTATATCAATTTTAAGCCTTTCTTTGAACGTATGCTTTTCAACAGTTGTGTGCTAATTCAGAGTTATGTAAGTAATTTTGTTGAGATAATTTGCTACAAATTTGCATTGCATGCTGAAATTTAGAGATATTATTCCTTCGGGAAAAATAATAATTTTTCAAATTCATGCAGTTTCCTTTTCCTTTTGTAATGATGAAATAAAAATTTCACGTGTTTTATACGACTTACTGGGTTTAGAAAGTTCTCATGTTTGTACATTTTGGGGAACTAACACTCACCCTTCGGAAGATAAAGGTCAGAGGTGACATGTTGAATGCTGTTCTCATTTTTCCCTAAAAGTACACATTAATGAAGGTGCACACACGAAATTACATATGCTCAGATGCATGGGAAGAATTTGTTTTTTAATCGAAAAATTCCAAAAAAATCGAATATTCTTCGTTATTGCCACACAAAAGTCTCCAATAGTGAGCTCGCAGAGCCCTAGTCCTCGGTGACGTAAAGTGGCGCGTGCTCTTGTTGCCGTCAGCCAAGAGTTTGTCTGAGGGAGATGTTCAGTGAGCCAAGACCGCCTCACCGCAAATGGGGCCGGGGAAATAGCCGCTGAAATGGAAACAATTAATATTGGCTGCCAATTCCAATATAAACAAGAGTAGTTCACGGTCACGCGGTGAAAGGGGGAGGGGGGTGGCCTCATGGTCATTGAATCGCTGTACGTGATACCAAAAGGCACTTCAACCGTGCTTGCCTGCTAGAATGTCCGAAGAGATCGAGGTGAGTGATGTAGGAGAGCGAGGTCAGCGGTCTATTTCTAGAGCTGTATAATATTCCAGGTAGTGTGACAGAAAGAAAATTTATCATCTAAAATATTTCTTGAATACAATGTCCATGAACAGCTGGAATTTTGTGGGTTCACTTTCTCGTCAGTACTTCGAAATTATGAAAAAATTATGATAGATTTTGATAGGTTGCCTCTGACCATTCTCTTTTGTTATATGAATGTGTGTAAATATTTCACATTTTCACGAATGCTTTAAATATACTTATTAAAATGAACATATCTCGCCAAATCCTGTAATTGAAGTCATCAGTAATTCACTGAGGTATATAGTATGTTGTGAATACAAAAACATTCACAACTAACTGCCTGAGGTAAAATGCCTCTTGCACTGGCGGTCAGGTAGGAAAGTGCAAGTTTTTAATATAGTCTACGCATAACACTAATGTATCACCGTTTCTTTTTGTTACCCGTGATGATGTTGAAGATGGCTATAGAATTGTTTGATCTCCTACTGTGTAGAACTTTTTTCCACTAATAAAGGGTCTTTTCCCATTGTCAGCTAAACTATCATCTTTTATAACAGGGAATTATCAAAATATGAAACCAATATCTATTTTCGTCATACCAAAACGCAGAGAAAAAAATTCATTGAACGTTTCTGAGAAGAAATTGTCCTTATAATAGATAAATGTCTGGTGTATATTCCTGAGCACTGATGCATGATTTTAACGTTCAATTGTTCGTTTAAGAACTTTTCACTCAGTGACGATGAGAAACCCTGAATGTTAGTGGTTTAAAAGTTTTCCACGCGTAATGATACACAGTGTGTAACAGTCCTGTTTGTACACTTCCTTTTCGTAACTAAAAATTAAATATTTACATTATTTTATACATTTGGTCTTATCTTCAATGTTTGTTTTTTATATAAGTATAAAGAAACAAAAACAACCCCACAAACATTTAATTTGCTTTCAAATAAAAATACAAATAAATCATTTAACAAAAATATCGCTACTACCTTGCAGCAGTCTTATTTGTACACTATCAAAAAAGTCAAGAATATATTCAATAATTCACAAGAAAAAATATATTTAATACCCTAACGCGTAGCCTTTGGCTTTGAGAACTGCTTTGCATCGTCTCCGCATTGAATGTACCACATATCATCAGTTTTTTCCTATTCTCCACACGATTTAATTGTTCCAGTGACTGTGGTTTCCTTGAATGCACCCTTTTCTTCAAATTAAACCGTACTTCCACAGTACCCTGCGAATTGTCTAGTTTGATAGTTTTATTTGCGTGATTTGTTTCATCATTTTGCGAATGTTGGGGGCATTTAATGATGTGATTTTCCTCACCTGGCGATTTACGAAACGTCACTGTCATCGAGCTGGGGTTTTCTTGGTAGGTTCTTTCTTAAACCGTTGTATCTAAACTTATATAACACATAGTTGACTGTAGAATGGAATTTGTTCACTCTGCGACCAATGCCTCTTAGAGAATAGCCTTGTAAACCAACAGGTACGATGATTTCCTTCACGTCACTGCTAGGTTTTTTCCTCTTTCCCATCTTGAAATAAACTAATTCGCAAACGATATAACGATGATAACGGTCACTGTGAAGGACGTCTGAACGTGATCAAAAGTACTAACAACCATTATTTAACACAGTATTAACAAAGTATTAATTAAGGAATAAGGTAATTTATTAAAGTGTACAAATAATAATGTTTCTCGTGAAAAGAATGAACTCCACATTATAAGGCGATTTTTGCGATATTTTACTTCTATTTATAAATTATGGAGTTATTACTACTTTTTCTAACTTTTCATTCTACATTCGTGGTAAATAATTCAATGAAATATTAAGAGTATTTTCTATGCTATTATCTATGAATTTCCTAGAATTGAATTCTAAACACAGTACAAACAAGACTTATGTATTGTTTCTCTCTTCAAACTTACATTCTTATTCACATAAAACTAAACTGTCGGAAAGTGTGACTAACGAAGTTTTAAAACTGACCGATTTATTTATAACAGCGAATTGACACTTCTCTATGCGTGACTAATTTCATGAGTCTCCGGTCTAAGGCTTACGCGCGTAACATAAAACATCCTTGCGCCCGTCTAAAGCAGAATTTCCAATGCATTATATTCCAAAGTACTTCTTGGCCGCATACTTCTACTGTGAGATACACTTGGCTCATCGCTACGTGTGTTACGTAAGTTCGTAACGAGAGTCCGGACTTCATCCTACGTGATCAACATAAAACATCATTGAGGCTGCCAACGCATAATTTACAATACACTATTCGCCAAAATATGTTTTAATCAATTAAAAAATGCCATTCTCATTTGAGCTACGGAACTATATCCTAGTTTCCGATACTCGTTCTCACTTTCGTTCGTCAATCTCTCGACATCGGAGTAGATTCGTTATTGTAAGTGATAAGATCCCAAATTTTCAATTATTCCATCAGTGTGTTATTACGCCCCAATATTTCATTTTTGTAATCGTGCGAATTGTCAATATTTTGGATATCACATTAATGTATTGTTGTTTAAGTATTGTTTTAATTGCGTAGATATTTTGCTTTAAAGCACGAAGGAATACACACATTGTTTGTCAGCCGTCAAAACATGAGCTATTATTTAAAAGTCGGGTCAGAAGTCTAATATTCATGAAATATCACAGCAGAATTTGCACTTCACCTAAAATTACACAATTCATTTTTGCACCCTTGTAAATTACTCACGCACACACGCTCACGCTCTCCCCGCGTCGCGAGCTAGGAGATTGAAATTAAACATTGAGAAAAATGTGATGTTGATGCGAGTGAGCCGAGTTTCATTCTTCTTAAATATTAAGGAAACTATTCAATGTTAATCTCGACTATTTTTTGGGGTGAATTTAAGCAGGTGAATTCGCAAGGCCCAGTATGAGTTAATTACGACAAAATTAATAGTAGTGTTGTTGAATAGAACGAAAAAAGCTGTACATGTAAGCTCAGTTTCATATACTTTAGCAGCATGGAAGGAAGATGTGTCGCAAAGTTTAGGAAATCTTCTGGTCATAAATGAACGACGCTATAAGGGGTCAAACTAGCCGCGGTATCTAACAAAACATTTCACTGTAGATTTACACGAGTTTCTTTGAGACTTTTAGGATACTCAATACAAAATGTCAACAAAAGCAGATATGGTTGCGGGGGCGCTTCTCCATAAGTAGACCGCATGACGTAGAATGGTTCTTAAACAAAAAATTATTGTTCTCCTTGGAGCTCAATCCTTGAACGCTCGCGATAGTGGGATGTCGCGCTTACGTCGCAGCGAGGGATAAGAAAAGAGTTTTGTTGTTGTTACAAATACTTTCTCCTGGCAGCTATAAAACTCAGAAGAAAGATCAATTCAGAAAATAATACCAGCAAAATAAGCTCTATATTCAAGAAAAGTAGATCAATAACAACCAAAGAATTTTTAACATGCCGTGCGCGAAACACGATTTCTCAAGATGATTTTTCGCGAACAAAACAGCTATTATCAGTAGCGAATATGGCAAGGGGTACTCAAAATATCTTTCGCACACGGCATGTTAAAAAAATATGCACTCCTTGCGCGAGGTGATTCGTGAACTCGTTTTGAAACTTATTTTTATGATTCGAAGAATACTGTGTTGATGTAAGATACGAATACGCCTGGAGACTGGTAGTGGTCTGAAAATCATACGAATACGCTCAAACTAATAGTGAATAACCCATCAAAGACCATTAACTTGTGTACAAAATTTAGGTAAAGTTTCATTTTATGAAGAATACAAATTGTTTTCTCGAAAGTGTTATTTACTCGAAAAGACGAATTTAAAAACATTAATATTAATCATTGCTCCCTCTTACTCATTAACATTAAAATTGAAAACCTGACAACGTTATCAAGTGAAGTTTTAATGCTTTGGAATTTATTTTCCAAATAAATAGGTAATTAATTATAATTCAATGACGAACCTCAAGACGTTGCGGGTCAGAAATTGCGCTACTAACATGAACAAAAAGTATACGATGTCTCACTCACCTTACTTTTTCCTTTGACAGTCAGCACCACTGCATCGAAGTGTACAAGTTCATTTAGCTATTTAGCATAAATTCGAGTTTGCTAATTTCTTTTAACACGAATACTAATAAATGTCTTCTGTCACGTCACAAGAACACAAACACTACGTCGTTTCGCGTGTACTTCGCACTGTATACTAAACGAGAAACAGGTAACGAATGAAACAGTGTCGCCAACTTTAAAGGGCTACTTCTTCAGAATCCAACAACTGTGTACATCTCTTCTATTAATAATTAAACCATTACTACAAATTAGCTTTTACGGATACAAAATACAATATTCTAATGTTTTATTTGTTAACAAGATTCTTTTTCTAATTAGGGACGCAAACTAGTGCTATACATTTCTTTCTGGACCGCCTCATCTGAAAAGCGGCTGCATAAAATTTCGTTTCCGAAAGAACCATGCAATCTTAATCTCGTCAGTTTTCACATTCTATAAAAAATTAATAAATAATAAGATCGCTGGTGGGATAGGTATCTTCTAATAATTAAATAAATAAAAAGTGTTGCCTGGTGTCAAATATTTGATACCAGACAACATTTTATTTATTTATTTAACATTACAAACGCATTGCAAATAATAAGAGAAATCGTAATTTAAAGGAATCTTAAAACTACCCACATTCTCTGAACTTCTGCTGGACAATTTAGAAAATGCTGACTTGAAAAAGTTTATTCAATGAGATAATAAAACCTCTATGCCTGGTTTTTATTAAAGAAATTGTAATATTATACATCTAAAAATAAATAATCCCATTTAGACGTGTCTTCTTATTCATATGATAATCATAGATAATATAATAAATAGATAATACACAGAAATAAATAACAATAGATAACATATTGAAAAATACCTTGTTATTAACACTTTACCCATGTAAGTTATTTTATAACAGGAAGAAGCTGCATCATGAATGAGCGCTGCCATCTCCCTTTAGAAAACTTTATTAAATAGCTGGGAATAATGAGACAAAATGTCGAAATGTGAATGCTACAGTAACTTACGTCCATTTGTAATGTGTAATTTGTGATACGCTTTGTTCCATTAAATGGATAGTTTTGCGTTCTCACCTTTGTGACATGCCGGATTTTAAACTGGATGGAGTTATACAAAAATCACAGGTTTCCTTAATATCAAGGGCAATTAAATATACAATTTTTCTCATGCATTTATAATTTCATATTACATCTCTATTGCAATCTCCGGGACATATTTAAGTGGAGTATTTCTATCATCAAGCTGGAGGGTATGCTAAATTACTTTTCTTTGAAATTCATTATATATAGGCTGTTCTTTGTGGGCCACAATTGGCCTCGTTAAAAGTAGGCAACCAATACAAAATCAATTTTAAACTAGTGGTGCAAAAGCAGAACATACTTTCTCGCCCTACGCAAAATTTCATGAAAAGTACTACGATATGACCTTACTTCAAAATTTATCTTTAAGAAACAGATTTCCTCAAGGGAAAAACTATCTGTCTTTAATATTTTAGTTGTAGGTTTCAAAACACTTGATCATTTTCAACTTTCTGAAAATCAGATGTTTCAATGAACATGAGGCCTAAACCATTCTCAGAAATGTCCTTCACACTATCCAACAACAAACTTTAATCAAAAACTATGGAGCCATTTTTGAAAATTTGAAAAATATCCCGGGGTCTTCATATAAAACACCCCAAAACTAGAATCAGTTTCAAATTCAAGGGTCCGCAACATCAGCCAGATCAATTGGGGAATATGTTTTGGAGAAACTTGAACGATGCAGCTGCTAGCGTCGTTCACAGAAGGACGGGCAGACAGACATTTTGCCATCATTCTATTTTTCGGTATCAAACCCACAAAACTTTAATTACAGCAGCACTACTTGTTAGTTTGTTTTTCTACATTTAGCAACTACATTTATCCAGTTTGTCGTTATGTGAGCCCAGTAAGAGATTTTCTGCTGACAATTCGCCGTGTTTTGGCGCAGCATTACATAACTTTTTTCTACTCCGTAGCCAGAAAGTAAAAGTATTAGGAGTTTCATTATAGGAAGTGCGTAGTATTGCACAGCTGAAGAAATTTACAAAAATACTCACGTTTCAATACCACTGTTATTTATTTTACATATTTAATTACAAAGTAGTTTTATTATTACAATCCCCAAAGAAAATACATTACTGAACATTATAGTATTATTGAAAAATGAATATAATTTAAATCCTACATTAAAACAAAACAATTCATTTACATTGATGCAAAGAACTTAATATATGATATGCAATCTTTCAATATGAAATATGAGGCATTTTCTCGAAACTTAAGTTGTTACCTTGTGACAGAAGTGAATCATAATCATAATAAACATCATCATACCATCATCATCTCCATAATAATAATAATAATAATAATAATAATAATAATAATAATAATAATAATAATAATAATAATAATGCCATTATTTATGGAGATCTCAGGCCATAGGGCCTGGTCTTCCTAAGCACTGAATATACCACTGAAATTACTTCCTGCGAAAAGAATATCTCAACATTATTTTAAGATAGTATGTCCTTAATATAAAATAAAATCTGCAGAAATAGATAATCCCATTTTAATTTGATCATACTTTTATAGGTAATGTAGCTTGCAACTTCTATAGGTAATGTAAATGTAGCTTCTCTATGCGCACGTTTTATTGAACTCTCCTTTTGCTAGAAATGGAGAGAGTAGAGGTAAGGGCAAGTTGCTATTTTGATAGCAATGCAGAAAAATCATACTTGCAATTCGTGTATCTATGAAAATACGTTTTCTATAACTCGGAAACGAAAATGACTATTTTTCAAATATTGTTAATCCAGCGATTTAAAAAAAATATTTTTTTTAAATTTATGTTAAATTTTTACTCATCTTTCAACTATTTATACTTAAATGACTGGAAGGAATTCTGCAGCTCAAGAAAACGTGCGCAGATAATCTTTCCCTCCTTCGTCACATACAGTCGTTTCTGTTTTTTGACTATATAAATCTAAATCTAAAACTAGGTAGCAAAATCATTACGACAAAGCAAAATACATCTTTTTGTAAGCAAACGTTGTATATTTTAAATATTTCTGGGCATATTTCACATTTTTGTGGTGTATTGACAAATATGTTTTAAGGCTAGAAACTTGAATAAAATTGCCAGCTCTAGTGATAACTTATCAAAAGCGTCAAAAATGTATGACAACATTTTGAGAAAAAAATGAACGACTGCAGTAAAATATTCTTGTGAGAAGATCAAAATATATTCCGAAAACAAAAGAAGCAGAAAAGATACCGCATTTACTGCATATACGTATATTCTATAATAAGACAAAACAAACGTAATGAAATAAATTTTAACAACTTACCCACTATTTATAATTTAAAAAAGGGGCAATAGAATAAACAAATAAATAAAGTGTAAAACACTAGAGAAAGAGGAGATATCAGCAGAAGTAATCAATGTAATTCAAAGCCTTTTCCTTAATTCACAAATAAGAGTAATGTATGAATATTGGAAGTTTTTTACAACAAGATGAAATCTAAGAGAGGACTACGTGTTGTTGGCATATCTTTAATATATTACCAATTACGTTATTATGGAATGGAAATAAATATTTAAAAGGGAAATAAATATTAACATAAAACAGAAAATTCAAATTATTGCCTATTTAGTTGCTGCAAGTCATATTAATGGAGATCAAAGATGATCTAGTTCAATGACCTAAATAAGTTAATACTTAATTATGATATAAAAATCTCTACTAACCAAACAAATGGTCTGTTTTGCAATCTTCCCTTGAATTCATGATTGCTGTGATGTGGATTGAATAATTTTCAAGTTCACTTTATGTCAGGTTCACTTTTAGGGTGACTAACAATCCTTATAAAAATGTTGTAGATGGATTTGAAAATTTTTCAACCCACATGAGTATGCAAGTTGTGTGGTTCATTTATTTTTCTGCTAGCATGCTTTCAAATTTCAAACACATGATCGTTAAAACCTTCTTTGCTTGCTTATTTAAAATCCTCATCAATGTAGATTTCAAGGGAAAATTTAACATTTTCCTATCAAGCACTAGGACTTTCAAGTATTAGGGTTAGAAATCAACCTGCCTGATTGTTTGAAAACACTCTTCAATTTTACTTCTTGTTTGGACAATTCTCTGTTTCTGTGCTCTCAAATGATGTAGTTGAACCCATAGGGACAGGATATTTTTCCGTTAAGGAGTCATATATTTGATAATTGTGGTACACTCTTTAGTCTCCACGGTTGTGGCATTAACTACACAATCTTAAAATACATTTACAATCAATAGCTTGTTTTGAGAAGACAAGGTTGCTTCAATGCCGGTCCGGATGGCCGAAATCGTTAAGGTGCCGTAGCGAAATCGGATCGAATGTTCGCGGGTTTGAGTCACGCCTCGGGCATGGCTGTATTTGTGTTCGTCCTTTCCTCCCTTATCACCACCATTGATGTCATCTTTACATCTACCATACCTTTAAGTGCAATAGTGGTCGCTAATGACCTAGATGTTGATGCGACCTTAAATAACAAAAACAATGCTTCAAAATAAATATATGTAAATAATAATTAATAATATTTACAATAATATTAACAATGAAAATAATAATAATCCCATCACTTTTTGACAAGAAACACGCAGCACAAAAGTTCAATTAACAATTTAAAACGTAATCTCATTGCATTTACCCACTTGGAGAACTAGGGTTACTGATATGAGCTGGAATCTGGAGTTTCTAGTTTCGTATTCTTCCTGCTTCTCTCAGTTCTCATATCTGAAAAAATTGCATTCATGCGTTTATATTCCCTTATTGTTTAACCAACACTATAATAAATTCAAATTCCTGCATTTTAATCACAATTAATACTCAATGCCCGTTTCTATAATTGATAGTCTATGACCATTGCTCCTCTTTATATCATGTATTGGTAAAGCAGAATGTCAGTAAAATTAAATTGCGTTATTGCAAATATATGAAAAAATCTCAAGTGCAAAACCTTTCTGGAAACCAGAACAGAAGAAGTATAAATAGAAAGAAAAAAAATAAAATGCTTGGTTTTATCAGTAATGATATGAATTTGGGACTTGAAAGTATTTATATCACAATATACATAGCCAAGCTTAATATAAAAATAGTGAATAATTGACATACCTTCTGATACAACTAAGGAAAATATTTTCAGTGTCCTTTTCTTCATGTTTCCCTCGGATACACCTGCAAATGATGTAATTAATGTAAATCGATAAACCCACACATGTAAGAAAATGTATGATTTTTCTTTCTATATAACTGATAGTTTCAAGGAATAACTGCAAAAGTCCTTTTATGACTAACCTAGTTTTTACCTGTAACCATAACTTTCCTTCATCATCCTTCGGGAAGCCATAATATGCAGTAAAATAAAAATTACTGAAATGAGTTCTTGCAAATAAGAGAGAAAATTTAATAAGTACAAAATCTAAGACCAGAACATACACAGTAAAAGTGGAGAGAAAATATTACAAGTTTTGCTCGGGGCTGTAATTTGAATTTGGATTTTTAGAAGTATTCAGAAACTTAATACAAGAATAATGTATAACTCACATACCTTCTGATGCAACTAAGAAATAATTTTCTGGTGTCATGGTATACTTGTCAGGCAGTTCCTCATGAGGCATATGATAAGAGATATCTGGAAAAAATGTTTATCCCTAATCTCCAAAAACAACATTACGTTTAACATGGAAAAATACTTTCCTCTAGTTATTTCCCACCATCAATGTACTAATCAGATCGCTGCACACTAGGATTCAAGTCGCGTTTGCGCTATCACAACGCGAGACGGGGAAGGACAGAAAGGTGCATGTGGCATTGTTTCATGTTCATTTTGAATACTGACAATTCACTATCGCTTCACTTGGAACAATTAGTAAATGCCATACAATATACAAGTTATCTATTAAGTGAATACTAATGGTAAATCTAATATATGTTCACGCTTCCGCCTGTACACGTGTTCACTATTGTGAATGAGGCATGGCCATAATAAGACGTCTAGCTGGTTAAAGTGCTGTTTTACCTGACGTGACTGGAGAGGTATTACTCGCGAAACTTTTTTTGAACGATGACCTTGCTTCTCCCTCTCTGGCACATGAAGGAAAAGGCTCGCACCGAGCACTGATGACAACATTACACATTTTTATTGGCGCGAAATAGAAACAATTTTCTTTTGAAGACGAGAACTTTTATCAGTTATTTTCTCTAAAAATCTAAAGAAATGACCAAAGCAGGTACGGATCTATCTCTCGGACTCCTGATAAAGTTAAAACGCAAATTATTGAGGACGTTAGGAAGGCGTGACTGATTCTCCAGGGATTGGCATTGTTTCACAAAATCTAGTGACCGATTACATAACTAATACCCCCACTCTACCCGCATTTCTTCAATCCATCGTTCAAGAAAAGTTGCGCGAGTAATACCGCCCTGAGCAGCAAGTCGTCCACATGAGTCGGGACTGTGACCAGGGCCCGGCAACTCTCCATCAAAATCGGGGACAAAGCTCGAGATTGCTACTATAGGAAGCGCTAGTGTCGCCGGTGCAGCTGCAGGTTAGGCGCGCTAACTTTCCCACATACAAATTGGCTTATTTGTGAGAAATACGAAAAATGTCTTATAAATGTACAATTATTCATAATTTCTACTTGTAAGAAACCTCTGAAGAGAGCGCGAACGTAGACGTCATCTTTTGTAACATTATGGTCCTGCTTGCGACCCGCGAACTCACGCAGCAGTCACGCACGTTTAAAGTATCGTTGGCAGCAGTTCCTGTTTTAGTTCCTGTAAAGGTGATGCAGCAGAGCGCGCCCCCGTAATGGTCTCCACCACGTTATATGGGAGTTATAGGGCCCTGACTGTGACGCCCCGCGACAGAGCTGCGAGAGGCCGAAAGAGAGGGCTTGCGGCTCAAGGGTGGTGCCTTAGGTGATGGCCGCCCGCGACCAAGAGTTTTTTGTTTGTCTACTGTCGCAGCTCCCCCGACCACAGGATCTCCTTCGAAAATCTCTGGGAACTGCAACATTTGCGTTTAATGGACGTTTTCTTGCTCGCCTCGCAGAGAAAACATCATTTAACTAAAATATATTTTTCACTGACTGAAAATACGAGTAACGTAACCAAATTTGGTCCTTCGATGCGACCATCCGCGCATACATATAGGTTGGTACGTTAACACTTGAACTGCAGCTGCGAGAGTTGCGGAAACCAATGCGCTATTAAGAAGAGAGAGGTAGGGCTGAGGTCCCTCTTATTATTCCAGTTCTCTCGGCTCCTGCGGGCGCGGTTGAACGTGGCTGCTTTAAATGAATCTACGAGACCATTGTTTACACACTTTTCGGAAGAAGTGAAATTTGTCCGTTGCGTTATTCCCGTCCGGGCAAACAAAAATTTCTTTGGTCAGAAACCAGCGTAGTTGTACTGTCACGTATACGAACCCTGTCGTCTCCTCATTTTCATCGGGATGAGTGTTCGTGGTCAGCCGTTTCCCAAATACATGTGTCTGTCACCTGGGTCTAAGATGCGACCATTTACAGGCTAGGGGGCAACGCGCCCTAACAAAAGAGTAGGAGCTGAAATATAAACGTATTTGAATTGCATATGGGCATTGATTATGTAATTAACTGTCGGTGGCTGTTAATTACATAAATAATATAATACCGCTAACAAGCGAATTATATAATAATAATATAAAAACTAACGGATAAAGCATTAAATTACTTTTAAAAAAAGAAACATCTATAAAATAACTCAGCACTGAATGTTTGTTCAATTAAGACAACTCTGCATTGCACTTCACGTTCCTTCACAACTACCCTTTAATCACTTCCTACATTATTTCTCTGTTGTACAATGAACGACACCTCACTTCACAATATATTACTTGCACATCGCTGTATAACCTACTATTCTCAGTTAAGTCCCTCATTTACTTAGTAATACCCTAAATTAATTTCCTAAACCGATGAACGCTACGAGGAAAGGGTTCAAAGGTTTTTCAAGGCCATCTATTCCATTCCGTTATCGTTCGATTTGTGAAAGAAAATTTCCCAACATTCGTCCTCTTCGGTCTAAAATTTATTTTGTGCCTGTGATCCCCCCCCCTACTGATGAATGTAGGAATACCGCCGAATAATTTATTTCCAAGCTTGATTACCACTATAAGCTTTATAGAAAGCACAGAGTCTTGCTGTTGACCGCCTGCTTTCGAGTGAATCCCATCCTGTCATTTTCTTGTCCCTGCAAGTAACTGTAGTTGCTCTACGCTGAATCCTTTCCAATGGAATTCACTAGGTGATGCAAATTTTTTTTAAACAATTACACATCTTTTGAACAAAAGATGAAAGCTCCGATCGGATTGCAGCATTATATTTCATTTAAAGACCGTTTAGATCAGACAATCAAACAATTTTATAAACAACTCTGAAATATGCCGCTGAAGGTCGGCAAAGGGACAGTGTTTCTGACTCATACGTTAACAGTCGAGTTCCCACCTCCGGAAGAATACTTTTTGCATACCTTAGGATTTTGCGGGATTGCATAGATACTAAGGTTCCAAATGCTAGCGATTTTCAACGCGTCCCTCTAAATGATCAAGAGTTGTGCAAGATTGCTTACACTTTTGTGAAGAATGAATTTCGTACGATTTCGTACGATGACAAAAAGTTTTTAATTCCACCAGTAAGTTCTCCGTAATTTTGTGTGAAATATAGGAATTTATTACAATTTTTTTCTAATACTGACTCGAAGTTTTTTCTTTATTTTTTTTTCAAATAAAGTAAAGTACGTTTATAACATTGGTTCAGGTCCCATTTTCCGTTCATTGTCAGTATTTTCGAATATTGGAAAATATTAACAGAGTGAACTTTCAATACTGATGAATGATGTTTCTTTTAATGATGAACAATTAATTGAAAAAAGTAGTTTTTACGTAATTTGGGTGTAATTTTTGCTTAAATTTAATTTACATTTTTTGTCAAAGACAAGAATTTTTTTCTTTAATTTTTTTACTCGAATACAATAAAGGAGGCTTTCCTAAATGAAACAGGTCTTATTTCGCAAGTCTCTGAATTTCCGAAAATTTCAAAAGTAAGAAATCACGCGAGAAAATATGCGCTGTTTTAACGCCACTATATCTTACGTATTCTAAATAGTATCAGTAAAACCTCTAAAATATATCGTTATCAATATCGTTCGTTTGTAATATTATTTTCGAAAACAGAGTGTTTTACGACTTGCTCCACTTTTATAAGAATGCTTCCCTATATTTGATAAAATGAAGTAATTTGCTATATATAGCAGGCATGGCAAATTGCGTCCACACGAGCTGCTTGCCCGTCTGGGATGCCGGCTCTCCTGCGGGCAAGGGCAACATACTCTCATTTGCATCTTTCCCGTTCAAACTTAGAAAGGTGTGTACACGCTCATGTTGTAGCGGTTACAGGAAGCACAAAACGCTCTCGCGATCGAGAGATCATGGTGAATGATGCCTTCACACGAAAACATGTTAACTGGAAGTTTGATATCGGAGAACGTACATTTCAATAACGTTTATAAACTTTATTATTTATTAATTTATTCCATGTTTACTTTCTTTTTTAATTCCGCATTGTATAATTATTTTGTCAAGAGGCAGCGATAGCAATTTTTTTTTACATTTTTTTTTCTTTTCCTGTTGTGTTTTATTAAATGATTCTATTATATGTTGTATGTATCTATAATGTGAAATATATTAACCTTTATGGCGGTCTCTGGTAAAACTTTCTCTTAGATTTATTATATCCAAGCAATCAAATATATGTATATTATGATTGTCACAATTAATATTAATAATTTAACACATCCTTTTCCTTTTCTACAACCAATGAACATTTTTCAAAAACTTTTTTATTGTCCAATATTTCGCGTGATATTTACACATATAATCAAGTGTAAACAAATAACAATTGTAATTTTTTGTCAAAACATGTTAAATTAAGAATTTCTTAAAACAATAGAACATTATAAAAAATTAAAAAGGATAAAAACAAAACACAAATACCGGAATAAATTCCCATTCTAAATCACTAGCCAGGCAAGTATTTGTGTTTTTTGATTTATCCTTTTTAATTTGTCCTCCAATTTATAAAAATCTTAATATAATATGTTTTGATATAAATATAACAAATATTATTTGTTTACACCTGATTATAAGTGTAAATATCACGCGAAACGTTGGGGCAACATTACATGGGCAATGGCGTTGTTTAATATTTTTTCATTTAATAAAAAAATACTTGTTTTAGGAATAATGTTACTATGAATTTATTATATCACTCTCGCGGTCGGATAGCTCTTAACAGACAAGAATCTTCGTTCACACCCTGAACGTAAGGAGCTATTACACTCGCAATTATTGCACTCTTAAGTATACGTGATTGGAAATCAAGATACTTTCCTCTAAAAATGTTTAATTTTGCTCTTGGTAAGTTCCAATGTGAGTGATATAATACTTCATTAAAATGGATAATTTATTTTCTTTAGTATATGAAATTCTTTATGACAGGTAAGAAAAGGCCGCGGTCCCAGTGTTGTTCCGACCGTTGACGACTTGAGACCTCCCGAAGTGCGATAAGCGGTAGCGATAAGCTGTAGTTACTTGGGAGTGCGCAGTCTAAGGCCGTACAGTGCCGAGTGCTGTGTCGTGTCGTGTCGTGTCGTGTCGTGTCGTGTCGACTTTCCTGTTCATAAAATCAACTGAATAAAATCCAGCGAGTGAGTAAAACG